TTATCGATGACAGCACAGCAATGGTCTGAATGGTGTTTATCCACTACTACATCGCAATGCTATCAGCATGGTGATCGTTACAGCAAAACGACAAATGTAAAATTAGTCAGTTTTATAATGCCTTCGGAGAAAAAAATGCGTGAAAAAAAATATTTAACAGTACTCCACTGGAAGCTGCCAGGCTAGAGGTTGTCGACATGTTGCGAGATAAGGGTCAAAAAGTTTACTTATCATTTACAACTGTATGTTTTTTGTATTCCGCTTGCAGGCTGGAAGCGTCTACGTCTTGTCTTTTTTTTTGTAGTTTGCAAGACTAGTTGGTAGCGCTTGAGGTAAGTTAAACAGGGTCGCAGACAGGAAGTTACACATCGCGGCACCGTAACTGAGGCCAGCAACTCATTTGCATATAACATCAACAGTGACTTGTCAATCAAAGAGCAACGTAAACAAACTTTCGGGACTTTTAATCACATACGTGTGCCTCGATTCCCGATATTTTAAAATCCATTTTTGGGCATGTTCCAGCATTGACAATGCTCCGAAATTTCAACACTATCTAGCCAAGACTGTCTGGGTAAGAAAAGCAAAAAAAAAAAAAATTCATTCCGAGTGCCCACGAACATGCATCTATACCTTAAATATAATTCAAAATTACTTAGCTGAAAACTAATTATGCAAATCAGAAAATTAATATGAACAGATTTTAGTGTAAAACTAATGAGGTCTGCGCAATGTAATAGAAAATCAATGTCTCCAAGTTTAATTGAAATGTGATTAGAACCAAAAAATTATGAATTATTATGCTTATTAGGGAATTAATATGAACAGATTTTTACCCCCAACTAATTAGGTTTGTACATTGTCCTAGAACATCTTTGTACTAAGTTGCATTGAAATGCGATGATTAGTACTTGAGATACCTGTGGAAAAGCTGAAAATTAACTAATTATGCAAATTAGGTAATTAATATGCACAAATATTTATCCGAAACAATCAATCTCTGCATAGTCCTTGAGTATGTAAGTACCAAGTTTCATTTAAAATGTAATGCTCACTACTTATATCAAAAGCTGAAAATTAATTAATTATGCAAATTAGGTAATTATATGTACTGATATTACCATAAAAACTATTCGGTCTGTGCAGTGTCATATGACATCTATGTACCAAGTTTCATTGAAATGTGATGATTAGTACTTGAGATATCTTGGAAAACCATTATGAAAAAATCATTATGCAAATTAGGTAATTAGTATCCGCGGATTATTACCAAAAACTAATCAAAACCTAGCATTAGTGCAGAGCATCTATGTACCAAGTTTCATCAAAATCCAATGAGTGGTTGTTTAGATATCAGTGGAAAAGTCATGGAACCACTAAAAAATGACTAATTATCATGTAAATTACGTAATTAATATGCACAGATTTTTACCAAAAACTGTTCAAATCTGTGCATATGTTCAGAGCATCTATGTATCAAGTTTCATCAAAATCCAATGAGTGGTTCTTTAGATATCAGTGGAACAGTCATAGAACAGCTAAAAATTAGCTAATTATCATGCAAATTAGGTAAATAACGAGCATGGATTTTTACCAATACCTAATCAAATCTGCGCATTGGCCCAGAGCATCTATGCACCAAAAAACCGATGTATGGTTCTTGAGATAGCAGTGGAACAGTCGGACACACATACACACATACACACACACACATACAGGTGTCCCATGAATTGTGGAGCCACCATTGAATTAACTTTTAATATAGTTGAATTAACTTTTAATATAGTTGCGATATGAACTCGATTAAAACGCGTTCCTATATAGGGTTGCGTTTTAATTGGAGTTTAATTAAACTCAATTACAATGCAATACAATGGAGAATTGCACTTTAATTAAGTTTAATTAAACTAGAGTTGAAT